GTTAACAAAAGGTTAGCATCTAAATATATAAAGAACTTTAAAAAAAAAAGGGGGGGGGGAGGAAAAGACAACCCAACAGAAAAATAGGCAAAACTCATGAACAGAAGAGGAAAAATAAGTAGCCCACCAACTTGTGGGATGCTATTCCTTCTCGTTAGTCATCAGAAAAGTGCAACTTAAACAACATGAGATTTCCACCCACCATCTTGGCAAAATGAAAAACTGTCAACGCCACCCTGGTGTGCCGAGCAGGACGGACTGCCAGCCCCTGCTTCTGGGAATGTAAACAGGTGCAACAACTCTGGAAAACAATGAGGGCATCGTCCTTTAAGGATGAGCATTCACCTGACCTCCAGGCCTTGATTCTCTGAGGAAACCTGCCTCTGAGCATCAGGAGACGTACAGGATGTCCCCAGCAGCCTCAAAGGGCAAAAAGCACAGGTTACACAGCAACAGTGGAAGAGATGAAACTGTGGCGTGTTTGTAAGTGGAATACGTACAGCTGTGAGAAGGGTGAATTATAACTACACGCACAAACACAGATGAATCTTAGATGTAACTCGAGCAGAAAAAGCACATCACAGGATGTGGGCAAAATTTATGGTTGAGAGTAAAACTCAGGGAAAACAAGAGACTAATGAGCACCAAGTCGAGTGCTAATTCCTCAGATCGGGGAGACCACAGGGTGCAGTCAAGGAGGGGGCGGTTGGACTGACTTTTAAGCTGGGTGGTGGTTGTACGGGTGTCTTATTCTTTATAACATACATACTATATATTTTGGGTGTGTGAAATGTTTTACTAAAAAAAGAGGGTAGGGACTTCCCTGGCGGTCCAGTGGTTAAGCCTCCGAGCTCCCACCGTAGGGTCAGTACCTGGTTGGGGAACCGAGATCCCGCATGCCATGCAGCTAAGGAAGAGTATTTGTTGAATACTAAGGATAATTGCCTGAACATTTGTCATGGTAAAAATAATTTTATTTTTTGGCTGTGTTGGGTCTTTGTTGCTGCGCACAGGCTTTTCTCGAGTTGCAGTGAGCGGGGGCTACTCTTCGTTGCAGTGCACAGGCTTCTCATTGTCGTGGCTTCTCTTGTTGCGGAGCAGGGGCTCTAGGCACTCGGGCTTCAGTAGTGTGGCACGTGGGCTCAGTACTGGTGGCTCGCGGGCTCTAGAGCGCAGGCTCAGTAGTTGTGGTGCACGGGCTTAGTTGCTCCGCGGCATGTGGGATCTTCCCAGGCCAGGGCTCGAACCTGTGTCCCTTGCATTGGCAGGCGGATTCTTAACCACGGCGCCACCAGGGAAGTCCAATATTTATTTATTTATTTGGCTGCACTGGGTCTTAGTTGCGGCACGTGGGATCTAGTTCCCTGACCAGGGAACAAACCCGGGCCCTCTGCATTGGGAGCGCAGAGTCTTAGCCACTGGACCACCAGGGAAGTCCCTAAAAATGTTCAGAAAAAAAAGAGGGTGATGATAATACCTTCCTTGTCTACAGCTCAAGTGAGACACACAGAGGAGAACAATTAGCTCCACTTTCGTGTGGGCGCTTACTCTGTGCTAGCACGTGATCCGCATTCCTCGCGTATTCAGCACAGGAAAGCTGCGAGAGAGCACATGTAGTCCAGGGCTGGGCGCCGTTGGCTGTAGCCCCTGGCAAAGCCCCATGGATGCCGGGAGGGCGCCCATGATAGGCACTGACTGCTGCCTTCCCACAGGTGCTGAAGTCCACAGGGGACGTGGCTGGAGGCCGGGCCCTGTATGAGGGGTACGCGGCCGTCACCGATGCACCCCCCGAGTGCTTCCTCTCCCTCAGGGACACAGTGCTGCTCCGTAAGGAAGCCCGGAAGCTCATCGTTCAGCCCAACACTCGCCTCGAAGGTAATGGGCTCCTGAGCCCTCACTGATGGGGGCCGTGCAGAGCCCTCTGGGAGCACAGAGAAGGCCCGGAACCAACCCGGGCTCAGGAAAGGCTACCTGGGGTGGCCCTCCTCCCCATGCCAACCCTCAGGCCCACACCTTGGCATCTACCACCCCCCACACACACGGGGTCATGCTGCTTCTCAGACGGCAACAGAAGGTTTGAGGCAGGCCAGCAGGGCAGGGGCTGGTAGAACAGGCAGACCCCGGGCCTGTGAGGAGGCCAGGCATCATACCGGAGAATCAGGCCTGTCGGGGGCCCAGGAGTGAGGTCAGCTCAGGCAGAGAGTTGGCACCCAGCAGGCTGAGTTGAGCCCAGGGGACAACAGGACTCGGCAGAGCCCGGAGAGAGATCAGCACCCCCGTGGTCCTTCTCCCTCCTCAAGCAATGATGCCGTTGCCAGAATCCCTGGCCCTGTCTGCCTTGCGCTTGTACCTCTTGTATTAAAGGCCCTTTTGTATTAAGAGCGTTTGCTCCTCACTGCCATAGTCATGGGCAGTTGTGAGGGTTAAATGAAATAATTACCTCCTCCTGGTGAGGAAAAAGCATTTAAAAGGTTTATTCTAAACTCTACTCTGGGGAATTCCCTGGTGGCCCAGTGGTTAAGACCCGGCGCTTTCACTGCCAGGGCATGGGTTCAATCCCTGGTCAGGGAACTAAGATCCCCGCAAGACACGTGGTGCGGCCAAAAGAAAAAATTAATAACAATGAAAATGCACCTCATTTAAAAAATAAAATAGAGGAGTTTGGCCCCCACCCCTTGGCAACCCTCTCCCCGGCTCCCCACCCTCCAGGCACACCCCCTGAGCTATCACCCAGCTTCCTCTTCTTCAAACGGCTGTCACTCTGCCATTTTCCTGTCTGCTCGTCTGCTCATCTCCATGGCAGCAGGAGCAGCACATCCCTGACACCTGGCACACGGCCTGGCCCACAGGAGCCTCTCAATGCCTGTCAGATGAGTGAGAGAATGGATCATGCCGGGCACACAGTCAGTGCTCATTACATGGACAATATCGTCATTGCTTTGACTGTCCAGCCCTGGGCAGGCATTGGGGTTGGACTACTCACGTCTAGTAGTTCACAGCCCATTAGGAATAAGCCAGAGAGAGAAATGATCTTACAAGGGAAGTGTTCATGGGTGCCCAAGAGACGCAAACAGTGGTCTGAACACTTAGAGAAGGGAAGATCACCTCTACTTTTGAGGGACTCAGGGAAGGGTCTGGGGAGGAAGTGGGGGTGAAGCTTTAAGGCCTGAACAACAGGTTGAATCCTCAGAGGTGGTGGTGGTGGTGGAAATGTTGATGATTGTAGCTAACTTTTGAGGACTTCCGTGTCAGAGTCTGCGTAAACTTTCCATGGATCAACTCCCAACAACTCAATGAGGAAGTTATTATCCCCATTTTTCAGCTGGAAACCAAGACACGGAAGGGAATGTACTTGCTTGAGGTCACACAGTTAGTGGGTGGCAGGACCAGGATTTGAACTTGGGCCATCTGAACTCAGAGCCTGTGCTCTTAGCTGCGTACATCCCATGATGCCACAGAGCACAGCAAGGTGCTGTGAGTCGGTAGAGCAGCGGAAGGATGTTAGAGGGAAGTGCTTCCCAGGAGTATTCAGGAACACCCCATAAGTGAGATGGGTGCCCTGGGAACAGCCTCACTTAACAGGTGAATAATAGGTTCAGAGGTCGTGATGCTCGTGGTAGCTGGCACCTGGTGAGCATTCCCTCAATGCATTCTTGTATTTAATCACCACAGCTTCTCGAGAGAACGAGTACTGTGCTTGCCCACACTTTACAGATGAGGAAACTGAGGCTTAGAGAGGTTGAGAAACTTGCCCAGGGTCCAGCAGTAGACAGAGATAAGGCAATTCCTGGAGGCCAAGGACTGTGTCTGTTTTACCTAACATGGCACTGGTGTAAATCTTTAAGTGAATGAATGAATGCAGCAATTCACTGAATACCCCTCCTTTAATATTTCCTATCTCATAGGATTATTTTAAGGATTCAGTTAGAAATATTGAGGGGCTTCCCTGGGGGCACAGTGGTTGAGAGTCCGCCTGCCGATGCAGGGGACACGGGTTCATGCCCCCGGTCTGGGAAGATCCCACGTGCCGCAGAGCGGCTGGGCCCGTGAGCCATGGCCGCTGAGCCTGTGCGTCCGGAGCCTGTGCTCTGCAACGGGAGAGGCCACAGCAGTGAGAGGCCCACGTACCGCAAAAAAAAAAAAAAAAAAAAAGAGAAATATTGAGCACAATTTTTGGCACATGGTAAGAGCTCAGGAAGAACTAGCTGCTCCTATGCTTATGACTGTGATTCTGCTTCCCTATTAAGACCTTTTCCTGCTGCTGTTTTTTTCTCCATCTCCTCCCCAGGCTCAGAAGTACAGCTTCTTGAGTATGAGGCCTCAGCTGCTGGCCTCATCCGATCCTTCTCTGAGCGCTTCCCAGAGGATGGGCCCGAGTTGGAGGAGATCCTCACCCGGCTGGCCACAGCTGATGCCCGGTTCTGGAAGTGCCCCAGTGAAACCCCATCTGGCCAGGCTTGAGGCAGATTTGCATGGCCCTTCCCCCACTCCAATAAACCAAGGCTGCAAGTGGCCCCCTTTTTGTCCGTGTCTTAGGGGCTAGGGGAGGGGCAGGAGCTCGGACCTTGGTGCTACCTCAGCCGAGGGTGGCGACACTAAGCCCTTCCATTTGACAGCACTTTCCAGCTCACCAAGTGCTTCCCCTGTGTTATCTCATCTGATCTGCACTGCCCTCTGTGGGGTGGGCAAGGCAGGACTCCTTATCCGGCTTCCCAGATGAGGCAATGCAGGTTCTGAGAAAGTGACCTGTCATCCTGCAGGACTCAAAACCTCTCCCAATCCAGTGCTCTTCATGTATTCCTTTTATAACCAGAAAAATAAATATTAGAAACCACCACCATCTTTGCAATTTGTGTGGTTCTTCCTTGCCTTTACCTCACTTCTCATTTGCTCCCAGCAAGGTGGTGGGATCAAGGCCTGTGGAGGGAGAAGGCGGGTTATTTTTAGGCTTCCATCCACAATGGGATTTTGACATCACCTCTAAATGTGGATATACAGAGAGTCAAGAGATGAACGTAGCACAATTTTTGCCGTCCTCCTTCGTGGCTTTTCTTCTATTTTAAAATATTCCAGGAACCTAAAAACTGGAAAGCCTCAACTTCAGCCACAATCCTAGGATTTAATCTCTTACCCTTTGTGTTTTTTCTCTGAGCCTGGACCTCTAGAGTAAGGAGGGAGAAAAGGAGTGGCCTCTTTTCCACCCGGTTAACCATGAGGATGAAGAGGGAGGAGTTAGTTTTGCTGTTCATAAACACTACAAGGGCTCCTTTCCAGGGCTCAAAGCCAGAGGGCCCTGCTGCTGACTCTGAGCTGCAGGGCCCAAAAGCTCCTACTGGAAGGATCAAGGATAAATGATATGAGCTGGAATGAGGGATTGCATCTCAGTAGCTAGAAACCCGGCACAAGCCGGAGCATCCTGCTCGCTGTCCTCTGCGTCCCGGGCCGGAAAGCTGAGCGCCCGGAACCTTTATACGCCAGCTTTCCAGAACCCGGGCTCTATTAGGCGCTGCGCGGCGGCTTGCCGGAGCTGGTTGCCAGGGTGACGCCTGAGAAGATGGCTGCTGCGTCTTCGTCGGATTCCGACAGCGGCAGAGCTGAGAGGTGAAGGCTGGGGTCCTTGAGGCCTCTTTTCCTACCTATGTGAAGAGGGTGCCCTGGTCCCCGGGATCTGGGCTCCTGCGGTTCTCAGCAGCGCTGGCGGTCCTTGAAGGGCTCTTAGAGATCAAGTGGGGAAACTGAGGCCCAAGGAGTGAATGGGTGCGTGTGGGTGACTCGAGGTCACTCTGTGCGCTGGTGGTGGAGCCTGGACTTGGACCCAGATGTTCTATACCCCTAGTTCAAAGCTGCCTACACACCTCATTCTCAGAAACCAGCTCCGGCAAGTTTTCTTTCCCCTCCCTTGGGATTCATCTTCCGCGCCCCCCGCAACTCTTTCCCTCTTCTCCCAGCAGTGAAGCCAGTTCGAAATGGCTGGATGCACACTACGACCCCATGGCCAACATCCACACCTTTTCCGCCTGCCTGCGTGAGTCTCTGGGACCAGGAACCCCGGTTCTTGGGGGACGGAGGAGTCAGATGGTTCTGTAGGGAAGCCTCTAGAATTCTGAGACCCTGGCTTATGGCTGTTTTATGTTTTCCAGAGCTGGCAGATTTGCATGGGGACGGGGAGTACAAGGTAAGCATATCACCCCAGAGGTGAGACTTCCCGATGGCTCCAAAGAAGCTCAGCATAATCTGGAATTAACGTGTACTTTGAAAAAGCACATTTAGGGTTAAATTTTATTTTTAATGTGGAAAGTGAAGAGAACCTGTTGATTTCACAGTACAGACTGCGGAAAGTAAAGCAGAGCAAAATGCTGCCGGAAATTATACTAAGATAAAGCATCTTAATTTTGTTAACTTGAAGTAATTCTTTACTGGAAGGGCACATCCCTTGGTTGGGGGTGGGGCGTTACTCTGAAGGGAAAGTAGAAGGGAAGAGAGTGAGAGTTTTATGTTTATCAAAGGGACGGGAGAGGCCACAACAGTGAGAGGCCCGCGTACAGCAAAAAAAAAAAAAGGGCATAGGGACTTCCCTGGTGGTCCAGTGGTTAAGACTCCGTGCTCCCAATGCAGGGGGCCCGGGTGTGATCCCTGGTCAGGGAACTAGATCCCACATGCCCCAACTAAAGATCCCACATGCCACAACTAAGATCCCAGTGCAGCCAAATAAATATTTTTTTTTTTTTTTAAGAAAAGGGCATAGATTTTAAGATTAGCCATGAGCTAATCATTGTTGAAGCTGGATGATGGGTATTTGGGGGTTCGTTATATGAGTCTCTCTACTTTTGTGTATGACTGAAAATTTTCCATAATAAAAAGGTTAAATTTTAAATTTAATTTAAAATATAAAAGTAAGTAAATAAAATGTAAATAAAGAAATAAAAAATTGGGGGACTTCCCTGGCAGTCCAGTGGTTAAGAGTCCACACTTCCAATGCAAGGTGCGTGGGTTCGACCCCTGGTTGGGGAACTAAGATCCCACATGCCGCATGGGGTAGTCAAGAAAATATTAAAAAACGAAGAAAAATAGGGCTTCCCTGGTGGCGCAGTGGTTGAGAGTCCGCCTGCCGATGCAGGGGACACGGG